GAGTAAATGTGTAAAAGGTATGGCATGAATTTGCCGTCCTTCTAGCTCAATGTGCATTTATGTTAAAATTGTAACATAAATGATCAAGTTTAGTTATTCTTATTTCTTTATTGCAAAACGCTCAAAACTGGCACCGTTTTGGAGAGAAATGGTCTAATTTTAACCCATATCATGGTGTGTGATGCTGAACTATGTGTTTGTATTTGCACTGTTCTAAACATTCATATTTAATGTGCAACAACAGCATGCTGTCTCAGTGGCCTTACACACATTTTTTCAAACTTTATGATTTAAATGGGGATGATTGTACTGAGAATAACTTTCATCTTTTCTTCAACTGAATACTGTTTCCGTGCTGTTTTAATGTATTTTAAAGAGCTGGCAGTCAAAATTAAAACTGCTGGATGATAGATACTCTTCATTCTTTATGACAAATAAGATAATGTGAATTACAGAATGTACAACGTTTTTACAATATATAAATTGCGGTGTACAGCGTTTATTATGAGGGGGTAGAATCCACAGCTCAGTACTCACTACTCAATACTCATGAGTACTTTTAAATAGGCTACTCTTTTACTCTTACTCAAGTAGTTTTTTGGACAAGTACTTTTACTCTACTCACACTACATTTTTTGGAAGGCAATGGTACTTTTACTTGAGTATATTGTTTCAGTACTCTTTCCACCTCTGGACCTACCCCTTAAAAAGACAGTTTTAGGCATTCAGTACTATTCAAAAATCAGTAACATTAACAAATTAGCACTTTTATTCAGCAAGAAGAATAAATTTATCAAAACGGACAGTAATGCCATTTACATATTTTTTTCTTAAAAGGTTTACGTTCCAATCAATTTATTTGAACTTTCTAGTCAAAGGATCCTAAAAAGCACAACTGTTTTCAACATTAATACATGTTTCTTGAGCAGCAAATCAGCATATTAAATTGACGTCTGAAGGATCATGTGACACTGAAAACTGCTGATGATTCAGCTTTGCCATCAAATATAACACTTTACAATATATTAAAAGATATAACTTATTTTGAAATGCATCAATATCCCACAATTTTATTGTTTTTACTGTATTATTGATTAAAGGTAACTTTGGTAAGCATGAGATTTTGAAAACAGCTATGCTTTAAAATATCTTATGACCCCAAACTTTTGAAGAGCAGTGTTTGTCATTTCAGCACCAATTGCAACCAGATTTAGGATAATAAAGCCCCACTTGTACTATTAAGGGGCCAAAAATATAGTTCCATGTCAATCTCATGCCATCAGTTGAATCCACATTTCTGTATAGAGATGGTCGGGCTGCTGAAACAATCTTTTGATAGTATCCCAGTATTTACACTTTTCAGGGAAATCTGTGAGGTATAAGTGCTTTAATTAGTGGTTTTTGCACATTAAACTAGGATGAGAAAATATTAATGACACTGAAGAATTGCAAACTTCACTGGTAAAAAATAAGATTGTGCATGTAAACTTAACAAATTAGCACTTTTATTCAGCAAGAAGAATAAATTTATCAAAACGGACAGTAATGCCATTTACATATTTTTTTCTTAAAAGGTTTACGTTCCAATCAATTTATTTGAACTTTCTAGTCAAAGGATCCTAAAAAGCACAACTGTTTTCAACATTAATACATGTTTCTTGAGCAGCAAATCAGCATATTAAATTGACGTCTGAAGGATCATGTGACACTGAAAACTGCTGATGATTCAGCTTTGCCATCAAATATAACACTTTACAATATATTAAAAGATATAACTTATTTTGAAATGCATCAATATTCCACAATTTTATTGTTTTTACTGTATTATTGATTAAAGGTAACTTTGGTAAGCATGAGATTTTGAAAACAGCTATGCTTTAAAATATCTTATGACCCCAAACTTTTGAAGAGCAGTGTTTGTGATTTTACATGTCATCAAGTTTTCAAAGATGAAGTGTGTCATTTCAGCACCAATTGCAACCAGATTTAGGATAATAAAGCCCCACTTGTGCTATTAAGGGACCAAAAATATAGTTCCATGTCAATCTCATGCCATCAGTTGAATCCACATTTCTGTATAGAGATGGTCGGGCTGCTGAAACAATCTTTTGATAGTATCCCAGTATTTACACTTTTCAGGGAAATCTGTGAGGTATAAGTGGTTTAATTAGTGGTTTTTGCACATTAAACTAGGATGAGAAAATATTAATGACACTGAAGAATTGCAAACTTCACTGGTAAAAATAAGATTGTGCATGTAAACACACACACACACAGATGTGCTGATGGTTTGTAGCGTGCAGAGATGAGAAATGAATGTTGGTGGTTGTTAATAACCGTGACAAACGACCTCTGCTTTCACTAAAATCCAACCTAATCTAATCACATCACAAATATCAGCCCGCTTTAAAGAGCTTTAAACGGGCTCTTCCTCTGCGCCTGCATTCCTCCCTCTTTCCCTTCTTCCCTTTCTCCGTCTCTGTTTTCCTGGAACCTCGCAATCTCTCGGTTTTCTTGCTCTCACAGCCTCAATCACTCCTTTATCTCATGTTTTCTTGCGGTTTTTGGTTAGGACTCCTTCCTTTGTCTAAAGATAACTCCATGGCTCTTCTTCTCCCTCCTCCACACACACGCAGGGGAGCGAGTGAGAGGGTGGTAAAGGATGATTCTCCCTCACTTCTCCCCACAGCCACATATTAATTTCTCCAGAGGGAGCTGGGTGCCAGCGTGGGCTCAGAAAACACAATCTAATGGAGCCATTAAAGAACTATTAACGCAGGGAGGTAATCTTTCATGACACGACATGTGCGAAAAGACGAAAGGTAACTTTGGTAAGCATGAGATTTTGAAAACAGCTATGCTTTAAAATATCTTATGACCCCAAACTTTTGAAGAGCAGTGTTTGTGATTTTACATGTCATCAAGTTTTCAAAGATGAAGTGTGTCATTTCAGCACCAATTGCAACCAGATTTAGGATAATAAAGCCCCACTTGTGCTATTAAGGGACCAAAAATATAGTTCCATGTCAATCTCATGCCATCAGTTGAATCCACATTTCTGTATAGAGATGGTCGGGCTGCTGAAACAATCTTTTGATAGTATCCCAGTATTTACACTTTTCAGGGAAATCTGTGAGGTATAAGTGGTTTAATTAGTGGTTTTTGCACATTAAACTAGGATGAGAAAATATTAATGACACTGAAGAATTGCAAACTTCACTGGTAAAAATAAGATTGTGCATGTAAACACACACACACACAGATGTGCTGATGGTTTGTAGCGTGCTGAGATGAGAAATGAATGTTGGTGGTTGTTAATAACCGTGACAAACGACCTCTGCTTTCACTAAAATCCAACCTAATCTAATCACATCACAAATATCAGCCCGCTTTAAAGAGCTTTAAACGGGCTCTTCCTCTGCGCCTGCATTCCTCCCTCTTTCCCTTCTTCCCTTTCTCCGTCTCTGTTTTCCTGGAACCTCGCAATCTCTCGGTTTTCTTGTTCTCACAGCCTCAATCACTCCTTTATCTCATGTTTTCTTGCGGTTTTTGGTTAGGCCTTTGTCTAAAGATAACTCCATGGCTCTTCTTCTCCCTCCTCCACACACACGCAGGGGAGCGAGTGAGAGGGTGGTAAAGTATGATTCTCCCTCACTTCTCCCCACAGCCACATATTCATTTCTCCAGAGGGAGCTGGGTGCCAGCGTGGGCTCAGAAAACACAATCTAATGGAGCCATTAAAGAACTATTAACGCAGGGAGGTAATCTTTCACGACACGACATGTGCGAAAAGACGAAACCTGCTTGCAAACAACTTTATGATGACAAGAGCGCGCCATCATATCCGGACGGAGAGAATGAAATATGTAAAATAACAAATCTGGGGCAGAGATTTCATGATAGAAAAAGCAAACTATTGTTCAGAACAGCACAGAAAGAAAAAAGTGTACGCACTTTCATGCTAATAACAGAACAAAAGTACATACAAATATAGCCACATATTAATTTCTCCAGAGGGAGCTGGGTGCCAGCGTGGGCTCAGAAAACACAATCTAATGGAGCCATTAAAGAACTATTAACGCAGGGAGGTAATCTTTCACGACACGACATGTGCGAAAAGACGAAACCTGCTTGCAAACAACTTTATGATGACAAGAGCGCGCCATCATATCCGGACGGAGAGAATGAAATATGTAAAATAACAAATCTGGGGCAGAGATTTCATGATAGAAAAAGCTAACTATTGTTCAGAACAGCACAGAAAGAAAAGTGTACGCACTTTCATGCTAATAACAGAACAAAAGTACATACAAATACATATTTACTCTTAAAGGCAAAAGGAATTAAATTACGTCCTACTGCAACAGATCAGATCATCAGACAAAGCAATAATAATGCGCTACTGTATGACTTGGAGAAAACAATTAATATATTCATCATGATATTAATTTGTCCTAGCACAAAAACACATCTAACAAAACAGCATACCTTCTCATTATATGCTTGTACACAAGCCTGTCACACAAACATGCTTTAACATCACTATGAAATGACAAAGACAATCACCAGTGTGCTTCAAATAATGCTGGAAAATGTCATTTCACTGGTCATCCGTGCAGAGCACTTCAGCACTCTGTCCAGTAGGTGGTGACAGCAGGACCAGAGAGACAAATGTCTGACAAGAGGCCTTCCTAGCATAGTGTACTAAACATATGCTGTAGTACGCAGTCCTGGTTAAATAAAGTTGTACAAATAGTATAATTGCAATACAAGTCTCTGATGCTCACCAAAGCTGCATTTATTTGATCAAAAATGTAATAGTGAAAACACCAATATTGTGAAATATTATTACAATTTAAAATTACTTAAATACATTTTCAAATGTTTTTAATACATTTTCTTCAGTGTCACATGATCCTCCAGAATGCATTCTAATATGCTGATTTGCTGCTCAAGAAACATTTCTTATTATTAAAAATGAAGACAGTTGTGCTGCTTAATATACCGGTATAACAAAAATATAATAAGGATGCAGTACTTTAAATACTGTACTGTAAATTCCAGATAATATTTTAAACATGCAATTTTTTTTACACTTTAAATGGGCCTTTACACATAAGAATGTATATAGGTGCCTTTATATGTTAGAAAGGGAGTTTCTCGCAAGGGGACCATCATATTTGGGGGTACCGTGGTACCAAAACGTTAGTACTGTACACTAGTAAGTGTGCACAGTAAGTCTCAACACCCTTTGACAAATGAGTTTCCATGACTTGTCCAGTCATTCATGATTAAGGGACTTTTAGTGCATGTAGTACAGCTTCAAAGACACTTACATTCTTTAGACATGCCCACTTCCAGGCACTTCTGCAGCCGGCAGTACTGGCAGCGGTTTCGGGTGACCTTGTTGATGATACAGCTCTTCTCTCTGTGGCAGGTGTACACCATGTTCTTCTGAATGCTCCTTCGGAAAAAGCCCTGAGGAGAAAAGCAAGCACAGAGGTTTACAATAGCTGGAAGGTTTACAAATGACACACACGTAAGTGAATTAACACCAGCCCCCAGAAGTCGACAAGACTGAGGAAGAACGGTTATATAAAGTCACTAATCATTCACCAGATATTCATATATTCACATTACGCATATCGTCACTATACACAAACATGTGAAAACACGAATAAACAACCATGGCGTAGATACAGCTCTCTCTCACACACACATTATTTTTTGGCATAATGGCCGGCTGAGCTCGGTCTAGATTCGGCTGCATTATGGCTGCTGGGTATTATCTCCCAGTTCAAGTGCCCAGAGGTTCCTATTGGCTAATACCTAGCGGGGCTTAACCCACTTAGACTCAAGCAAAGGGATGCAAATGAGAGATTCACATTATTCTCCTGATCTTAATTACTGCTTGGTCAGACTCTCGAGGGCAGAGAGTCAGTCCGAGGTCACAAACGGACACGGCAAAAGCTGGAAAGATGCAGCTGAAGCCACATACGGTCAGAGAGCAGATGCCAAACAGTGATTGCGTAGGCTTGTGGAAGGGATTTCAGCTGCTGTGCTGCAACCACGGCTCTCTGGCTGAGGATTAAACAGTGAAAGCTTCACTCGTGACTGCCGCTGGGCACGTGGGTATCAGCGGCGCTCTGCAGGATTCACTGACTGGGCTGAGCGGAAACACAGTATGTGGGTTCAATGCTTCAGTGTGAACACGTAATAGAAATAAGATCTGGAGTTACTCCATGTTGCAGATTTATACCTGACAAATTAGGTGAATACATTTTATAAAATCCACATTCACAGGTTATTAAAAGGGATAAATACAGAGCTGGGTAGATTACTTACAAATATATTTACTCTTAAAGGCAAAAGGAATTAAATTACGTCCTACTGCAACAGATCAGATCATCAGACAAAGCAATAATAATGCGCTACTGTATGACTTGGAGAAAACAATTAATATATTCATCATGATATTAATTTGTCCTAGCACAAAAACACATCTAACAAAACAGCATACCTTCTCATTATATGCTTGTACACAAGCCTGTCACACAAACATGCTTTAACATCACTATAAAATATGACAATAAACAGTGTGCTTTAAATAATGCTGGCAAATGTCATTTCACTGGTCATCCGTGCAGAGCACTTCAGCACTCTGTCCAGTAGGTGGTGACAGCAGGACCAGAGAGACAAATGTCTGACAAGAGGCCTTCCTAGCATAGTGTACTAAACATATGCTGTAGTACGCAGTCCTGGTTAAATAAAGTTGTACAAATAGTATAATTGCAATACAAGTCTCTGATGCTCACCAAAGCTGCATTTATTTGATCAAAAATGTAATAGTGAAAACACCAATATTGTGAAACATTTTCAAATGTTTTTAATACATTTTCTTCAGTGTCACATGATCCTCCAGAATGCATTCTAATATGCTGATTTGCTGCTCAAGAAACATTTCTTATTATTAAAAATGAAGACAGTTGTGCTGCTTAATATACCGGTATAACAAAAATATAATAAGGATGCAGTACTTTAAATACTGTACTGTAAATTCCAGATATTTTAAACATGCAATTTTTTTTTACACTTTAAATGGGCCTTTACACATAAGAATGTATATAGGTGCCTTTATATGTTAGAAAGGGAGTTTCTCGCAAGGGGACCATCATATTTGGGGGTACCGTGGTACCAAAACGTTAGTACTGTACACTAGTAAGTGTGCACAGTAAGTCTCAACACCCTTTGACAAATGAGTTTCCATGACTTGTCCAGTCATTCATGATTAAGGGACTTTTAGTGCATGTAGTACAGCTTCAAAGACACTTACATTCTTTAGACATGCCCACTTCCAGGCACTTCTGCAGCCGGCAGTACTGGCAGCGGTTTCGGGTGACCTTGTTGATGATACAGCTCTTCTCTCTGTGGCAGGTGTACACCATGTTCTTCTGAATGCTCCTTCGGAAAAAGCCCTGAGGAGAAAAGCAAGCACAGAGGTTTACAATAGCTGGAAGGTTTACAAATGACACACACGTAAGTGAATTAACACCAGCCCCCAGAAGTCGACAAGACTGAGGAAGAACGGTTATATAAAGTCACTAATCATTCACCAGATATTCATATATTCACATTACGCATATCGTCACTATACACAAACATGTGAAAACACGAATAAACAACCATGGCGTAGATACAGCTCTCTCTCACACACACATTATTTTTTGGCATAATGGCTGGCTGAGCTCGGTCTAGATTCGGCTGCATTATGGCTGCTGGGTATTATCTCCCAGTTCAAGTGCCCAGAGGTTCCTATTGGCTAATACCTAGCGGGGCTTAACCCACTTAGACTCAAGCAAAGGGATGCAAATGAGAGATTCACATTATTCTCCTGATCTTAATTACTGCTTGGTCAGACTCTCGAGGGCAGAGAGTCAGTCCGAGGTCACAAATGGACACGGCAAAAGCTGGAAAGATGCAGCTGAAGCCACATACGGTCAGAGAGCAGATGCCAAACAGTGATTGCGTAGGCTTGTGGAAGGGATTTCAGCTGCTGTGCTGCAACCACGGCTCTCTGGTTGAGGATTAAACAGTGAAAGCTTCACTCGTGACTGCCGCTGGGCACGTGGGTATCAGCGGCGCTCTGCAGGATTCACTGACTGGGCTGAGCGGAAACACAGTATGTGGGTTCAATGCTTCAGTGTGAACACGTAATAGAAATAAGATCTGGAGTTACTCCATGTTGCAGATTTATACCTGACAAATTAGGTGAATACATTTTATAAAATCCACATTCACAGGTTATTAAAAGGGATAAATACAGAGCTGGGTAGATTACTTACAAATTGTGGTAAATTACTGATCACAGATTACATGATGAAAACTGTAATTAGTAGCGTAATCTAGGTTACTCATTTTAGGTAATGTATTCTGACTAGTTTAAGATTACTTTTAGATAAACAAACTTGTTTTAAATTGACCATTAAATGTACCATATTGATATTGAAAAAAGCAAAGAGAAAGAAAATGTATTCCTTGAAATATTTCCTTCTTTCCTGGCTTTGTGAATATAATCAAAGAAAAATGGTATGACACACAGTAGGATGTTTAGAAAGGAAAATTTAAAAGAGGGGGAAAAAAAAGAGGAATTAGGGAGAATCAATAAATTATGAATAATTTAATAAATTATGAATAATTTACTGACATTGTGTGAATAATATGTAATCAATAATAATTAACTGTAATCTGCATTTTAAAATGAAATGCCTTAATATATAAAAAAAACCTAATATACCCTACAAGTACTTAATTTTTGTAATCTGATTACACAATCTAGATTACATGTAATCAGTTACTGGATCTTTAGCAATTCTCAAAATTATTTGTTTTTCCTACTTTAAGTTGTAATGGCTAAATTCACTTGTAGTATTATGTAGTAGAATTTAGCCATTACAACTTAAAGTAGGAAAAACTAATAATTTTGAGAATTGCTAAAGATCGCTAAACATTAAATTCTTTATTAAATTGGTATTTTTAAAGACCAAATAAGCGTTCAATGGTGAAAAGGGTAATCTATATATAATAATAGGGGAAGAGTATGCACAATTAAATAACCAAAATGTAAAAAAAACCCACAAAAAAAACACTAACACTCACTGATAAGTGATACATTCTGCTATGATTGGTGCAATGTTGGTATGATTATCTAGCAACACATGAACGGTATCTAAATGTGCATCCTAGTCATGCTACTGTTTTCAAAGCAAGCCTACAGTAAAAACATTGTCCCTCTCTGGTTTAGAAACAATAATCCCAAAGGCTTTTAGTGGAAAAGCCTTCAACATATCAGTCAGGCCACCCAGGGAAGCTTTTAGTATGCGTGTGCTTTTGACAGGTCTGTACAGTGGCTGCCATCTAAAAACACTCATGTCATTTCACTGAAAGCGTGTGTCCAAGGACATGTCCCGCATGCTGAAAGGACATGTTCCTCTCACACTCGGTCTCAGCTATGAAAAAGTAATAAAGGAAAAGGTGAGCATGGCAGATGCGTGACAGAACGTGTGCTCGCCTCGCCAAGCCAAAATGGTTTTCTAATGCGCTGCCCAGAGGCCTGATCTCCCTACAGAGGAGCTCTCATTCATCGGGCATGTTTTATTCATGCCAGCTCTGATCTTCTGGAGGTCATTGTTGGAGGTCATTGTGGTAGATGCAGATGAAACGCTTCTTCCTGGACCAGTATCAGCAGGCCAGTCACTGCTGTAGACGCAATACATGAAGTTGCATGCTGCTTCTTGCACATTTCCTTTTCAGTGGGCAGCAATTTCACTTGCACGGTTTCAAAACTCGACCACTTGTATAATAAAATCAATACATTTAAATCGACTTTGCACAGACTTTATAAAAACATTTAGCACAATTCAGCTGAAAATAAAGCATTAGCTCTACACTGCCTCACAAAATGTGTTTACATCAGTAGACAAATATCCCATGAATCCTGAGCGAAGGTACAGCCGACAGCCGTCTCACCTGGAGAGCTGATTCATTGATAACAAACCCATGACAAAAGTCACACCAGTCCACAATCAAAAGGCCTCTTTTCCTCGTCCTGCTTCACTCGCTCTGCGCCGCTGTTGGCCAGGCCTGAAAGCCACAGGAATAAAGCTCAATATCATCACAAGGTGTGAAGAATGCTCTGGCAACAGAGGGGCAACTGGGTAATTCCACCGGATTAGGGGCTGCAGCAGTGGCCCATTGAGAGGAGGAAAGGGTAATGGCTGCTGAAAATTCAGCTTTGCCATAAGAATAAATTACTGTTTAAAATAAAATATAATAAATATATTTAAATAGAAAAGAGTTATTCAAAATTGTAAAAGTATTTCATTACATGTAACAGTATTATTTTCGATTACATAAATGCAGCATTTGTGAGCATAAGAGGCGTCTTTCAAAAACTTGAAACTATTTTAAATATTTCAGAATAAAGTATTTCAATTTAGTGAATAATGCATTTAATGTTTTAATCTAATTATTAAAGAAAACACTCAATTAAGAACAAATAAATTAAGATCAGTGAGTTGCTTTCACTTTTTATTGGCAATATCAACAATAATAGAGAGCGGCAGATCTAGGCAGCATTTACATGGCACAGATTCAATATTTTGAAATGGATCTAATTTTTTGTCCCAGCTGTTTACATTTGCAAAACAACATAAAAGTCCCTTTACGAAAGTAATTTCACTCTGTGGCCATTTTTGAAATGCCTCTCGGGCATTCATGTGCAGCTCCTATCTCTTTGAACAGGGAAACCATAAATGTTGTTTCATATGATAAAATAGTGTTCAAAAAAGCTTATTTTCCAGTCTAGGTAAACCAACGTGCATATATATAGTCCTAAGCGCGCTTCTCAAAGCTTCTAACAGCAGCTGCAGTGATACGATGACTTTATCAATTGCCGATTGGCTCTTTTATCGAGAAGGCGGGACTATTACACCACTATAAGCCACCGCTCATCAAACAGATGGTATTCGGAAAGCAAAATCGATTGGTACTTGATACAAGAAATCCTTGTTACTTTAATCAACCTTGATTAATAATAATTAAAACATTTTATCCAGATTTAAATTAAGAATATAAAGTGTTGTCAGAGACATGGATACGAAAGCGTAGAAGCAGACATGGATGACGAGGTAGAGGACATAATGGATCTGTGGCTGATCTGTGATCCTAATCTCTCACTAGGCATCTCCTGACCTCTGTGAACCCTGGATTGACCCAGTCTTGACCTGCCAGGCAGATCCTGTGAGTGGAGTGCAGCAGAGGAGGGCAGGAAGGAAACGTTTTGAGGTCTGCTATGGCTCTCACTGGCAGGAGCGCTAAGCCTCTTTAGTGTCTCCACTAATCCTGGACGTGAGTACAAACCCCCAGGTACACTGAGACAACGGAGGAGCAGTCGTGTGTTTGTATTTGTATGAAACGTGCACTCTATTTCAAATGGATTTGGAGAGAAGAGACCATGAGATCAAAAATAAGGCCGTCTGTCTATTTAGCGTGACTAAGTGGTTGTGCGTATGATAGTTATTTGTGCTTAGTAGCCGTGAAGATTTAAACGAAGATTTAGACCAGCAGCCGTTACAAAACTTAGTGAGCTGCCTACCTAGGGAATATTTTAGATGCGCTTCAGATGTAAAGCTAGTCCCAAATGGTAAACAGCAAAAGTATGCAGCATGTCATCACATGGAGTGTACTTTGAAAGTATATGTGTTTGGCTGCAAGCATACGACAAACATTCACATCAAAATTGAAGTATACTTTGGGCTAAAGCGACCAGACGTGCAACTTCCTGGGGACACATTCTGCCCAGGATTTCTAAATTGCGTGGTTAAAATAACCAGGTGTTGGTTGTTTGCGCTGCACCGATCGATCTTTGTATGACATCAAAATATTGCGAGAGTTATAGAGCAGAGTAGACTGTTCCATTCTTTAGAATCGCTCTCGCGGTATTTTGATGTCATACAATGATTGATCAGCGCAGCGCAGCGCAAACAACCAACACCTGGTTATTTTAGGCAATTTAGAAATCCTGGGCAGAACGTGTCACCAGGAAGTGGCTACTAGTGTGCTAGGCAGCAGTCAGCTCACTAGAGTTTGGAGTACAGCTAATGTACCAAAAACTCAAAAGGTTGATCGTTCTCACGCATAGCCACAGAAAACAAGACACAATGATTGAAAAAGACAGTAAGGAGGATTGTTGCAGAATTTCTTTTACAAACAACTAAAGTGACAGTGTTACATCTAATACTATTTCATTTAACCTGGTTAATCCAATTCTATTGATGGATCAGAGGACACTTGTTTAGTGTGGCTTACGTAGGATTTGAGATTCATCAACTGTTTTTGAATCCAATCTAATTTTCAAATCGGTCCCTAATAAGTCAGTTTCAACCACCTTTGATAAAATTAGGGATGCACGATATTGGATTTTTGCCGATATATAATTACTTTTAATTTTGGTTAGTTTTTAACAAGAACTTATTTGTTAGAATTAAATAAACCGTTTTTTTTATAATGACAGTACATTGAAGATTTGAAAATAACAATACATAAACTATACATTAATCACTGCATTTTCCCCCCGGAAAGATGCAGTGGTAACTTTAACATTTTATATTATGATTTAACATTTGTAAATGGTCTAAAGCAAAAGAGTTGTAAAAATTCTAAAAATATTTTAGAGCTCATAATTTGTTTAAAAAATATAACATATTACACATTAATGTAATAATCAGTATATATAAAATTATTTAATTTAATGTCAAGTTTGTGATTTTTTTTTTGTTCATTCAAGCTATAGCTTCTGACCTTTAAATCAAAACATGCTCATGATTTTATAGCATCAATTACTGCTTTATTTAATCAGAAACACGGTCTAAATATTATTTTTGTATTTTGCTTTCATTCTATTAGAAGTAGGCCAACAGCGCCCCGTACGGAATTAAAACTCCTTACTGAGCGGGCTTTAGGATCCGGGGGAGGCTGCCGCTGCTGCACGTGCTATTACTGTTGACTATCACACACCGATCGCGTCATTCTGTAAGTGCATTCTCAGTTTAAATGCAGCGATCCAAAACAGTGAATCTAATCACCATTCAGGCAAAACTTTGCTTCAAGAATGAGCCACAATGCTGATGTGATCTAATCACTAGAACACCCTGAGCACGTGACTTAATGTATTCCTCTTATCGGCAAGACATATCGGCATAATTTTTCATATCGGGCCGATGCCGATATTTACATTTAAAGCCATTATCGGCCAATTCCGATATTGGTCTGATAATATCGTGCATCCCTAGTTAAAATGGTTGCTACATGGATGGTTACCTTCCATGTTGACTACAACACAGCCTTGCAAAAAAACTGAAATGCAAAAAACGGACTTAAGAACATATAGCCCATATAGCCCAAATACTGACTCCTCTCTTTGTTCATCTCAAAGCAGACAAGGCTGTAGAGGCGAGAGGAAGAGAGTGACGGGTGCTTTTTGAAGGGAAAGACGAGTGCAGATATATCCTCCCACCATTCAAAGGCAGCGAGAAAGGGAGAAGATAGCACATGCAAATTTAATGAAGTCATGTTTATTTCTCAGCGAGCAGCACCGAGTGTTCTCCACCCACGCTTCCCTGCGGCTGCGCTCCGATAAGGGGGCTTTGTAACTATCATAGTTCAACTCCAAACCCGTGTTTCTCTTTCTCAGGGAGACACAGTGTAGATCATACATTGTATACACTACCAGTCTTCAATTATTAAGTAGCACTGAAATAAAAGGCTAGAGTTCACCGCTGTGCCAATGGGGTCTCCCACCCCAGTAAACGTCAGTACAGGAGGCTGTCACCAGCGGCAGTGCTAGAAAACACCCATGGGATGACTAAAACCCAAAACATAATTTGCATAAAAGGATAACAAAAGTAGTAAGTGATATGTGTTTGTGTGTATGTGTGAATTTTGGAATTCACAATCTATTGGTACAATATTACTACCCGATTCATTTAGTGATAAATTGTAATAACTCAAACTACCACACTGTTTAATTTGCTGACTCCCTTTAATATCAATAAATAAATCGGATACAATGCCCAAATTCAGAGATTCATGTTTCAAAAGATAAAAGCAGTGGCCCCAAAAAGTATTTGGATACTTAATGGCTGAATGCCTTTGCATCAACAAAATATCAAAAACAAGTGTCACTTATTTTAAAGAAATACAGCCCAAAAAACCTTTAAGCGGCTTGAATTATAAAATAACAGACATACTTGACTATACATATGTAACTGACTGGCTATCACTATGATAGTGACTACGTTTAAATGGACATCAGTAATCTAATTATTTACCTTATTCTGAATAAGGCAATATTATGATTAAGGTGTTTACATGAGTTGCTTTTAGAATATTCCTTTCGTGTTCCCGATTTACATGTTATAGTACATAGATCGATTAATGACACACGCCATTATATACCCACTTGATGCCATCCGAAGTCCCCTCCAGAATTTCACTTATAAACATATAGTTTGTCTTCGTTATGATGCCATATACAGTTTTGGGTGTTTCATTTTTAATTTTACGAAAGCTTCAAGTGCAGTTAATTATTTGTAATGCTATACGTGCAAACAGACGTCAGTGTTGTTGAAGCCATGCTCTTTTGTTTGCCGTCAAACGCTTGACCACTGCCGTGTGTATCCTGTCGCAAAATGCGGCGAAAAGTCCTACACGACGGTAAACGTGTGATTAAGGAGTTTACTTGTCTATACTGCACTTCGATAATGCGACTAAAATAGGAATACTCCACGTCTTGATTCAATTTGTTTACTTCGAGTATGACTTTAACTAGATTAAGGTAATCCAAAATCTGTTTACATAGATTCTTAAACAGAGAATTATCTTAATCGTGTTCAAATCGGAACATTTTTGTCCATGTAAACATACTGATTGTGTGACTAAAGCATTCAAAAACTTTGAGGCCTCAATCCTGCAAATTGGGACAGGATAGATTCTTACCTTGCACCCTTCACATGCACTAACTCCATAATGGTAGCCTGAGGACTTGTCCTGGCAGACGAAACAGGGCTTGTAGACCCGTGGTGGAGGAGGTGGAGAAGGTGGGCTTGGTACGATCTCCTCTGAGCTTGTGCTCTGGGTCTCCACAGCTACAAGAGAACAGAAACAGCCTTTAGTTTAACTCATTAACGCACCATAATTTCCTCATGAGGGTTACTAGGATCCTTTGAGAAAACTGCACTTGGTGTTTTATCAACAGTCTGCAGTAACCTTCAACATTCAAAAGATCCCTCCGCTCCCCAGGAAGGCTCAGCGAGGGAGCGCTTGTGCATCCTGATGAGCAGCTAAGGTCAAGCTTGTCAGGAGAGCGTCTCCATTCCTGGAGCGAGCAGACAGATAGGCTGGTGCCACGCTCTCCTTACACATTCACTCTCGCTTTCCTCCCGGTTTCAGCTGCTACCGACTGGGACGAGTGCCAGCCTTAATTAATAAAGTCATGACAGTCAGCCGGGGTGTGGAGGGAGAAGCCGCACGCTGTGCTTGAGTGGAGGGGGCGCCAGAGCCGCACGGCACCGTCAAAGAGCTGCCATGACCGAGAGCTTATGAATCAACTGCCATTTAAACAGCACACCATGAGGGAAACCCACAATGTCCTCTCCACATGTCAAGGGCACAAAATGACAAGTACTCTGAATTTTGAATAGCTGAAATTCTCCACGTCGCTGATGTTTCCCTGTATGAATATGCCCACATGTAAGTGACCGTCTGCATGGTGGCGATGATGGCACTGGTATATTTTCAAAACATTTATATACACAGACACATTCACTCCTCAACCCCCATGTGTCTCTCACCTGCTGCTATCCTCTCCTTTCCTGCTGTGTCTCTCACAAATGCCATGGTATGAAGAAAAATGAGATGAAGACAGGTTTCTAGTGAAGGAGAACATGCTATTATGTGTCAGTAATCTGAGTAATGCAGAGTCTCAGATATTGTTTCAATAACCCTAATAGATGTCGAAAATGATCAAATCGCAGCATTAAAGGGACAATTGACAAATTTAAATTGCATCATTTACTCGCCCTCAAGCTGTTCCAAACTTCTGCTGAACACAAAAGATGATATTTCGAAGAATGTGGGAAACCAAACAGTTGCTGGTAACTATGGAAGTCAATGAGGACCAGAAACAGTTTCATTTACCATTTTTCTGACCCTTTATGAATTATATATTTTTTGGCTACTGCAGCAGCGATCAATATTTTTGGTCCGTTTTTCTCAAATAAATAAATTGGTGCACCTGCCAAATGTGAATTCTGTCAGCATTTAGGAATACACAAGCATATAGGCTACATTGTTCAAATGTTTGGAATTGGTGAGATTCAGTAATAGTGACAGCGTGAAATATTACAGTTTAAGCATTTTTTAAAAAAAATTTTAATGTGTAATTTATTCTTCTGACGGCAAAAACATTGTCAATTATCTTATCAATGTATCAAAAACAGTTGTGCTGCTTAATATTTTGAGGAAACCGATACTTAAGTTTAAAAAAGAACAACATTTACTTGAAATTGAAAAATTTTGTAACAACGTAAAAGCTTTCAATGACACTTTTGATCAATTTAATTAAAAAAAAAATCTTATGTCTTTAAATAGAGTATCCAACACCAAATCTCTTCTGTTCAAGCAGTCAGTTATGGCTGTGTGGTAGAGACAGGCAGTGAGGGGTGCTTGTGTTGCTGTTTAAGGTTTGATATGATACCTGACTCACTTAGATCAGTGTCTGTGTTCAGAGAGACAATCTACCTACAGCATAGACTCACAACGCAAACACTGGGGCCGCCAAACAAATGCCTGAATGATGAGACAATGCCCTCTTTAAGCATAAGAACATTGGTGAAACATGTTAAACGGTGAGTTAGGTAGATCTCTCTCATCTTTGTCTATTATGAGCAGTCTAGTAGAAAACGAGGCCTCACCGTCATTACACTACACATGCATTGTTGCTGAGCCAGTGGGCAACCGTCTGCGTCTATTTCCTGAGTTCAGAAAAAGCACAGTCAAAGCTAAAAATACCCACCCTGGCACCAGCACAGAGTCAGATGAGGATGTCGAGTTCTTATCTCTTTCCACACACAGACAGCAAAGGTCCCCACAAACTCAAACACGATTCCCAGCGCATGACACAACCGACTTCAATGCAGTGTGCTGAGAGAGCTGCTTAACGGTTTTATTTAGCAAATGAGGAAAGAAAACGAGAAAAATCTCCAATAATGTGGGGAAACTACAAAAGAAAAACAGACCCATGAAGGGACAGTTATGAAGAATTACAAGCAATAATTTGGGAAATGCAGGATTTTCCCAAATATACAGAATACACTTTCTGACCGAAACATTTTGAGTCATTGACATTTCCAGTCAAACACGGAATAAAAATAAACGTTTTACAGAAATGACACTCAAAAAGCTATTTCTTGCTAATTTGAAATAAGAGATGAGGGAATGAGAGGGAGGAAATTTGGATGAATTTTCAAGGCCTGGGAGCTACAATTTTATTATTCCCTACAAGTTTCTAATAATTCCAGGTTTTTTAATGACTATGGTAACTAAAGGTCGACTGATATTGTTTTTTTTTTATGGCAAATGCTGAGATCTTAGGGGTGGCAGATGACTGATATAAAACTGACATATCACTATTTAACAGAGCCCGACCGATATGTTTTTTTTTGGGGCCGATACTGATACCGATATTTGGGAGTAAAAAAAGGCAGATATCGATATATCGGGCGATATTCTTTGTGTATATTATAGTACAGTACCAGTCAAAAGTTTGGACACTTTCCCATTCGGGTGTCCAAACATTTGACTGGTACTATATATAGAATACAGTATATACATATACAGAATATATATACGTAAACACATTTTTTGCAATGATCACTCAAATTTGGTGATCAAACACTTATGACGTGACAAAGATATGCAATGATGGAGGCAGGGCATTTAACAAACTTAATTCAAAATGAGTCTGACATCAGTGCACTGAACAGTAAAGTTGAAGTTTATTCAACTTTAATTAAATTCAATTCCACTCAACTATTCCGTTGAAGTTTATTTCACTTTGGAACATTCATTCACGGATTTGCGCTACTGTCTTCACACACAGACGAAACTTACTAGAGAAGTGTGAAGTGTGACAATTTACCTCTGTAAATAAATATAAATTCACGTCTTGCGCACTTTAATGCCCTTTGAATGTAACGTGTACGTTCCCTTGGAACTGGAATCATGGGGGAATTTCATGTGAAGTCCACTTCGCAGGGTACTTACGGTTGAATAAGACAACGCTTGAATGCTGCTGCCTGAACAAGAGACCTCCTTACTGAAGTGAAAGTGTTTGGCTGGTGTCACTAACTCGCAAACACGTCGGCGGATCTCCACCAAATTCGGGGGATCCCTTCAGCTCGAGGAGCCATCTTGAACGCCACCCTCCGCGCATCGGTAGCCCCCCGGGATCGCTAGACCGGTCGGTGCCGGACCGCGAATTTAACCACTCGTAACTCCCGAACCCCGGGGGCTATCGACGCGGGGGTGGTCTCATTCGAAAGAGGGCCTCGAAGTACACTCTATACGTATTCGAGAGGGTTCCTTGAGCTGAAGGGATCCCCCGAATTTGGTGCAGATCCGCCGCGCCGGTACGGAGATATGGCCGTTCAAAGTTTCAGTGGTTTTCCATAGACTTAAGCTTTAAAGCATTTCATCCAGGTCGCCAGTAGCAAACAATGGAGAAACTAAGTAATCAAGTAAGACATGTCTCTGCTGGACAAACTAAGTAATTACATAATTTCAAGCATTTTATCTGCGTTATATGTTCTGTAAAAAAAAAAATTTCATATCAGTGGCGTATTCGCCGATACCGATATATCGGTGACCGGCTCAAACCGGCCAAAAATATCGGCTAAACGATATATCGGTCGGGCTCTACTATTTAATATAAAAAGTAAATAACATGCTGCAGTAAAATTACCTTTTTTAACATCACATTTACTAAAGAAATAATTTGAAAATGAATCAATGTGAAAAGATAACTTGATAAAACCGATTTATACTTTAGATACTGTTGTCAAAAAACTGCCGCTGTAACCCAAAAGGTCAAAAATATGTCACTTTGTCCTTTAATGCAAATGTTTTACCATACAAAAGGCAAAAGGCAGTAACAATGCTGTCAAACAATGTGTTCATTTAATTCATTTATATATAAATTTGCAACACAAAAAAAAGACCCCTTATTGGAAAAACATAAAACAAAATGTTATCTCAGCACGAAACATTTGCAGATGGTACTTTAGCTTGTATTTTTCACACAGAGAGAGAACAGGAAGTGAGAAAAACTACCGGCTGGCATCACACATCCTGCTCTCACGAACACGAAGCTTCAAGAAGGTGAGATTGTTTTTAGATGTCAAACAGTTGATTTCTCTCAAACAATTATTCTCACTGTTGCACTCGTTCCCTTTCACCAAATCTCGCTCGCTCTTTCTATGTCATTCGCTCGTTCCCTAGAGCGCCATCTGACCTCTTTCTGCTGTGCAACTCCAACATGAGTGGCACATTTTCCATAACAAGGACAGTGCTCAACACAGCTCCAGGACAACATCATGGGAACTGCTCTTCTGACAGCAGACACTGCGGCAATGGCCAAAATTACACCTTCATCTACTTTCACCCATACCACAATGCCTCAAACTTCCTTTAAACTCCATCTGATCAATAATAAATAGCACGTATTAAAAATTGAACAGCTGAACTGAACAGAGAAATCCCTCGCTCTAAAATAAGCGAAAGTTTGAGGGTTAGAAGCTGCTTCCCTGAACCCGAATAACCGCAGAACTAGCAGCGCAAGCGGCTTCCTGTGAAGCTGTGATCAGGTGGCACGCTCTAATTATGCACTCTGTTGCATCTCTGAGGAGAAGCGTCTTAGTCATGGCTCTTGAGTTGGCCTGTAGCTCTGGAAGGAACAACCTCGCTCTGAAATCAAGTTTAATTATGCCCAGAGGTTCGACCCAGGGTAACCTTACATTAACCGCTGCGAGGCTTTCGGAAACGGTTCAGTTTCACCACCTGTCCGAGACGCCCCTCGTGCACACAGAAG